GCAAACACAGGCCTCCCCTTGAGCCCTGGGGTTCCCTATGAAAGCAGGGCCAACCTCCTCACGTTACCATCGCACTGCTCCGAGAGCCTTCTTTCTTCTTTGCTGCCTGTCTGCTACATTAGCCATCAAGAAGATGTAGCATGGAGCTCCTCAACCTGCTCCTCTCTCCTCACTCAGCTCCCCTGGGCCTAGGTCACACGCCAAGAAAGGAAAGAGAAAGGCCAAGAATGCCGGTCTAGCACTCAGAGCAAAATGCCAGGCGGAATTGCCAGTAGGTAACAGGAAACATGAGTTAAGGCCACGCTGAGGGCCAAACAGGGACATCAGCCTCCAACCAGCAAGTTCCCTTTCCCTCTCAGGTTCATCAGTAAAATGGATGCATTAGCCCAGCCCTGTTTATTCATTAATTATTCACCAAATGAGCATCAACACTTACTATTACCAGCTATTCTGTTAGCTTCCAGGGATTAAAAAGGCAAGTGGCATGTGCACAAAAACGTTATGGAGTACAGGACAGGAAAACAAGCTGATAAGCAATGAGGACTCTGTGCAGCCCACGCTCTTTTGGAGGTGAGGACAGGATGCTGGGCATAGAGGGAGAACCCACAGAAATAAGCCCCACTCTCCATGCCAGCATAATAACCCAGCCTTCTGCTGTGGGCTTTCACAATGGGCCCTTCATGGGCCCTTGCACAGCTAACTGCGCAGAAAGTGTGTGAAAATCTCTTGCAACTTTCTGGGATGAAGACCCTTCCCCTTTGCTCTGCACCTGGATCCTTGCTGCTTCTGTTCCATCCCCACCTGTCAGGCCATTGGACACACATAGGAACCAGGTGTGAATTTCTTTAGCTGCCAAAGGAAAACACCACAAACCGGGTGGCCTAGAATAGCAAAACGTGTGTTGTCTCTTGGATCTTCTGGGAGCCCAGGACCGCAGCGCGAGTGTGCACGTAGAAGCAGCTGCCCTTGGCTTAGCCAGCACCCTACCTGCTTCTTGTGGACACAGCACACCATGCCAACACCTGCTTCCATCACCACACCACACTCTCCCTGCAGGTGTCTCCTCTTCTTAAGGGACATCGGTCGTGGTGGATAACGGATCTATCTGCTTGAGCATGACCTCACTTTAACTCAGCTGACTGCATCTGCAATGACCCTACTCCAAGTGAGGCCACTGAGGCCTGGAGGTGAGACCTCTAGGCATCTTTTGGGAAAGACAGCTAGACTCACAGCACTGTGCACCTCAGGTGCAAGGCCCTGGGCTCCAAAGGTGCCCAGGCAGCCATGGACACACGGCTAATCAGCCTCTCAACAGTTCTGATTAGCCATGAAGCCACTGGAGGAACTGAGCATGCACTGAAGCCCAATTCTTCAAATGTTTAATCATACCCGCAGTCTTCTGCACTCCAGGACCTCACTGAAGGATGACTATGCCCCAGTGGACAGCCTGCCATAGAACCTTCCTGTGTTATTATGAGGGAAAAACTCTTCTGACAGCTACACGGTAGTGACCCCAGTGCTAGCCACAGTCATGCTGCTATGCACTTGGGAGACAGTTCTCTTGTGTAGATGTCATACAGCAGCCTCCACAGCTTGCCATCCCTGTCTGTCCTGTGAAGATTCACTTGTTCATTCAATTCCACAAGTATGCATCATATATACCACATGCTGGGCATTCCTGCAGCTATGGAACTACAGCAGTTAACAAAGGACTCCAACTAACATCCTCTTTGAGAAAAATACAAGGGTTGTTTTGTTTTGTTTTGTTTTGTTGTACCAAGGATTGAACTCAGGACCTTGCCCTTGTCAGGCAGGTGCTTAGGCCACCGAGCTACATTCCCAGCTTTTTATAACCAAAGTATTTTTTTGTTTTGTTTTGTTTTGGTTTGGTTTTTTTGGGTTTTTTTTTTTTTTTTTTTTTTTTTTTTTTGGTTTTTTGAGAAGCATACAAGAAGTCATAAAAATGGAAAACTATGCAACCTGTTTGATGGTGCAAGAATTACAGAGAAAATGGAGTACAATAGAGAGAAATGGACATCATTTTTAAACAGCATGGTCAGGAAGGCCTCACTGGGAAGATGGCATCGAGGAAGGTCAGAAGAAAGTGGAGGCGCTGACCCACTCAGGGCAGGAACTTCCGGACACACAGTGGCACATGCCATGCCTGCAGGGCAAGAAGCATGCGAGATGCGTGTGGGGCAGCCAGGTGACAATGCCACTGGAGTGACTGAGTCAGATCCGGCAGAGATAAGACAGGTGGAAGCTACACAGGCCCTAGGCCTGAGGGCTTTAGAGATTTGGGTACATTCTAAAAGTAACTCAAAGTTTACTCTAGGAATGACACTTCTTGTGAATTGCTCATTGTTCTGGTGCAAGCCAGCTGTGACAGCTATTGTAAAGTCTGCATCATCCCAAGTCCCATAGTGGACACCAAGCCCCAGCAGATCTGGTCGCAGACAAGGGCAAACAGCAGCCTTGAACTAATCCAAGCCAGTCCCACACTGACACAGCCACGTTGTCACACTGGTCCTGAAGAGTGGGGCGTACTCCTTGGCCCTTCCTCCTCCCCTTCCCGTTTCCTCAGTCCAGTTCCTGTTTCCTGTCAGCTTGCTTGTATTCTGCTCCTTAAGTGACTTATATCTTGGGCTTCTCATTTTAGAGAAAGTATTGAGCACCCTCCCCGACATCACAGTTGCCAGGTGCACCCATTTTCCTACAGCTGACTCGGGGTCACTCTTCATGGCAAAGCTGGCTCCACTATGCATAAATGCAGCCTTTTCTTGGTCCTTTCATCTACTGAGGGACAGATGGGGGTTGCCTGCCTGGATTTAGCTATCGTGGCTTGTGCTGCTATGAATGTGCGTGTGTGCACATCACTTAAACACTAAATATCATGAAGATTGGGACAAAAATCTAACTGTGGGATGGATTGGAATAGGCTATGTTGCTACCCCTACAGAGTCCAGAGCAGCCTACAGCTTATAAGGGTTCCATGGTAAGAAGCAAGCCAAGCTGTCTGGGAGCCTCAGGGACACGTGGTAACCACAGCACATAGCTTCCAGGGTTGTTCCATTTGTCACCAACCCCACCAATGAAAAGAGAGACAGTGCTAGGCGCTGAGGTGGCTGTTCTGCCTGCCCCATTATGAGGAGGTACACAGCCTCTGTCTAGGATATGTGGAGAGGCATGCAAGTTTCAGAAACAGCTTGTCCTTCCCCTTGATTCTCCATAGAGGTCTGACTTCCTCATACTCCCTCGCTTCCTCCTTCCTCTTGTCTCCTCCTCTGTCCCCACCCCACACATATACAGCACTCAGTCCCCTGCTATCTAGAAGGGACCAGAAGGGAACTCTAGGCTTAGCCACATGGAACTAGTGGGTGATGCTGGCATCTTTGTCCACACTGCCCTCCCCTCTTTCATTAGGAGACAACAGGAACAAGTCCCTTTTCCTGGAAGCCGCAGTTCCTACCTTGTATCACCTCCAACACATTCTACACTTCATTACACAAGTAATCAGGGTGGTTGGAGCCAAGGGTTCTTCAAGGATTAGCAGGAGATTAGGCCTGACAGGTAGGTCCTGCCTGAGGCCTGAGAGCACTGCCAGCCCAAAGGTCAGAGCCAGCTGGGAAGCCTCCTGGAGAGACAACTGGTTGGAGCTTGGTGTCAAGCGTTATTTGTCAAGTCACCAGGGAGAGAGAGTAGAGGCCCAAGGACCCTGAAAAGGTCATCAAGGTGAGACTCTGGGCTGCAGAGTCCTGGTGATAAAGTTGTTGATGATTCAGGAAGGTAACCACAGAGGTGGTGTACTTGGAACAATGCCTAAGGCCTCGTAAATCCTCAAGCAGAACTGGTCACCACAGATAATCCCGGGGCAAAAGGGCTGAGCTCACACTCAGTGGCTGCAGTGGACATGGAAGGACCCAGACTTGGGACATGTGAAAGAGTTAGAGCTAAGAGGTCAAAGGTTACGAGGCGGGAGAAGGAGGCGCTGGAAGGTGACCAGTGCGGTCTGTTCTGGTGTGCAACTAGAAAGAGCAAGTATTTAGAGAATGATGGCTTTCAGAATAGGGGGGGACGCTTGGCCCCAGGCTCATGGAGGGGACTGAGTTTGGGGTCCATCCCACAGTGGACACAGAGTCCTCTGGGTATCAGCACAACCAAGAGAATAAATTTCACTTCCTGTGGCCCCACCAGGGAGGGTACAGCTATGTCCCTCAGGGGTAAAACCTCACACTGCAGCCCACAAACATCTGCTATTAAGGGTTTGTCTATCACAAACAAAACAGGTATACAAGTTATTTATTTAAAAAGAGAGGGTGCTGGTCATCCCACTTCATACCCTCCTGGACAGGTAACATCCCTCTCAATCAGCCACAACAGTGATACCATCTTGAGCATCAGCAGTCATGGTGTCCCAAGGATAGGAAGACAGAGGGGACCAGACACCCTGGGCTGTTAGGGACTGGGCAGAGAGAAGGACATGTGGCAAAGGCTGAGGACACCAGGTGGGGGAGAGGGACAAGCCAGACAGCACACTGTGGGTCCTGCTGCTTGAGTGACGGACTTTGTGGTGGGTGGCAGCAAGCACAGCTGTGCGCACCCTGGGGACAGACGGAGGGTGAGATGATGATGGGGTGGTAGTGGAGACAGCGCCTCCCCAGGATACCTGGCTTTGAGGGGCAAGGAGAGGTGGAGGCAACGCAGAAATGAGAGCAGCTTTGTGACACAGGTGGAAACTGAGGGTGGGGATGGTGGTCAACAGCAGTGATGTCCCTTGAGGGAAGAGTAAGGTCAGGGTGAGAGGAAGAGGAGAGGAACAGGGAGCTGCCGGACATAGCATGGAGGACAGGTCAGAACAAGGGGCTGGAGGCACATACAGGACAGACAGGCTCTAGGGACACTGTGTCACACAGAGTAGGCCAGGGCCAGAGGGCCCAGGCCAGGCAGAGGACAGCAGAGCCTATAGGTGGGTGCTAACTGGCACTATCTGACCTCTGCAGTGGGACCTGGTATGCAGCTCTGCCAAGCTGAAGGAGATGGCACAGTCGGTCTTCATGTCAGGCATCCTGGTTGGGGGCCTGCTGCTGGGCAAGCTGTCTGACAGGTGAGGTTCATCTGCCGGGGGGCAAAAATGGGCCAGGTCTTGCCTGGGGGTTTGGGCAGTTCACCCGCCCAGCCCTCCATCCACCCCAGCCCTCACGGTGGAGGCTTCCAGTCCTGCCACAGCCCTGGGGTCCCCAAATTCTTGGCCATGGCCATGGAAGATGAGGAAAGCAATATGGGCTGCTTCTTTGACCCCTGCACCATGCTCAGTTGAGCTGGGGACAGAAGAGGTCACTCATTAACTTCTGACTAAGTTAACTTCAACACTAACTGAAGACTTGTTGAAAAACAGCAATTACTAGCATGCTGTCTACAGGGCAGGTGACAGGTGCCCCCTTGTCCTCAGGCAGCAGGCAGAGGGGGGCACAGCCTTTGCCCAACTTGCAGAGTCATTGGCCTTGGCAGGCGTGGCTAACTGCCTGCCCTCCCTGGCCGCAGGTTTGGCCGCAAGCCCATCCTGACCTTCAGCTACCTCCTGCTGGCTGCTGCCGGCTCAAGCACAGCCTTCAGCCCCAACCTCCCAGCCTACCTGGTCTTCCGCTTCCTGTGTGGCTTCAGCATCTCAGGCATCACCCTGAGCACCGTCATCCTGAGTGAGCGGGCATGCAGCGGGATCAAGGGAGCCTGCCAGACACCAGGAGAGGGCCAGCACGTCCCCTAGACTTCCCAGAGTCTTGGCCAAGGGGCTGCCCCTATCAGGACCCCAGCGGTCCCACAAGCACAGTGATACATACCTGCAACCCAGCTCCTCAGGAGGCTGAGGCAGGAGGATCACAAGTTCCAGCCCAGCCTGGACAATTTAGAAAGACACTGTCTGAAAATAATACTATCTGGTAGTATGGCTCAAAACTGGACACCTCTGGGTTTGACCCCTAGTACCTCAAAAAAAAAAAAAAAAAAAAAAGCTATGAATCCTGAGGACTTCCCCATGCCTTAAACTGCATTAGGAACAGAATTGTATCCAGTGTGCAGATAGTGAAGGACTGTTGCCAGCAGAGAGACCAGTCGAGGCAGGAACTGGGAGGCAGATGTCCAGCAGCCCCTCCCGAGCCTGTCTGAACTCTGCCCAAGGGCCTTGTGGGTCTGGAGAAGCTGGGCTGCTGGGGCCCCAGCTGGGGCCTTGGCCTGACTCTGACAGCCCTGGGCTCCTCCCACAGATGTGGAATGGGTGCCCACCCGGATGCGGGCAATCTCGTCCACCGGAATCGGCTACTTCTACACCACTGGCCAGTTCCTCCTGTCCGGCCTGGCCTACGCCATCCCCCAGTGGCGCTGGCTGCAGCTGATTGTATCTGCCCCCTTCTTTGTCTTCTTCTTGCTGTCCTGGTATGTGGCCCTTCCTCCCTAAGCCACACCCCAGCCGGAGACATCCCATCCCCCATCTCCAGCCCAGGAGGGGGGGCTCCTGCTGAAGGGGTGGACCCTGGATCACGTGGCTGAAGGAGGGGCGGCTGGGCTGATGGAGAGTGCGGAAAACCAGGCAGCCCCAGGCTGGCACCACAAGCCAGAACCTCACCAGATTGTGGCATGGGAGGTGGAAGCTGCTGGAGGGTCTCCATCTGGGGCATCCAGGCTGTTCACAGCCTGCGGCAGGAAGGGGGAGCCAGCAGGGTCAGGAAGTGGCAGGTGGTTGTAGATGTGACTGGCCACCCTCCTGCCCACTCTAACCCATATGCGTGCTCACTGGGCACTGGGGTGACACAGCCCACGGCCCAGAGTTTCATGGCCCAGCCTGGCATCAGGAGGCTCACCACCCAGGAGCCACTCACTGCTGTTGGGGTCAGGGCCATGGGCCAGGCCTTTTGGGGGCATTCGGGAGGACACAGAACTGCAGAGCATGAGGCAGTTCTCAGAGCCAGGAAGCACTACGGTGAGTGGTCAGTGGCCTGAGACCAGGTCACCAACATCCTCGTCCCAGGGCCTCCCAGAGCCAGACCCAGGACCCTCAGGGACCACAGTGGAGCTGCCTGCCTTGAGCACCTGTCTCTACACACCTTCCTTTTTCCCTGCCTCCCAGCCTCTTCCTGCTCAGGAGAAGAGTGTGATGCACACATCCAATCCCAAGACCCCACACCATCACACACACATGATGCAGGCGCGCACACACACACACACACACACACACACACACACACACACCTACACATGCACACAAGTTGGTCCTGGGCAGGAAAAACAGGAAATCCATCCCACTCTGTGGGTGACAGCCCCATCCTAGCATCTAGTCCCCATCTCCCTAGACACAGGGACAATGGCCACAGAAGGTGGGGTGGGTACAGGAGCCCCGAATATGCCATCCCCACCCCAGGAAGATGACACAGACAAATGCAGAGGAACAGCCCCTCTGGAGGGAAGAGTGGGAGCTACCTACACAGTCCAGAGCCCAGTGAGCCAGCCTGAACCCCACAGCACCTGCAGCGGGAACCCCAGCTTCCAAGCCCCCACCCCATGACTCTGCCAGCCTCTCTGGGAGCTCAGGGAAGAGGAGACCCAGCACCCCGACTGCCCACAGGTGGATCCCTGAATCCATACGCTGGCTGGTTCTGTCTGGAAAGTTCTCAAAGGCTCTGCAGACACTGCAGCGTGTGGCTGCCCTCAATGGCAAGAAGGAAGAAGGGGAGAAGCTCAGCATAGAGGTAGGTGGAGGGGATGGCTCCTGCTTTCGGGCCCCCAGGCTACGAATCATGCTCTCTCCCCTCTGTCCCAGGAGCTGAAGCTCAGCCTGCAGAAGGACATCACCTTGGCCAAGGCCACGTATGGCGCCAAAGACCTGTTCCAAATACCGCTCCTGCGCCGCATTACTCTCTGTCTCTCAGTGGCTTGGTAACCACCTCCCTCTCTGCCCACCATGGCCACATGGGGCATGGCCAAGCCCAGAAGCAGGGGCCACCACAGCCTAGCCCCTGGCAGCCTGGTTCCTGGGCCCAGAGAGGGAGAAGGGAAGGCTATGCATTACCCCTTCACACGGGACACTTCCTGCCTCGGGGTCTTGGACAGCACCCCCTCCTCTGTCACCTTTAAGAGTTGTCAGCTCCGCTGTGACCCCCACTTCAGCCCTTTTCAGAAATCCCATAGTCACAGGCAGGAGCACTCCAAGAAAAGAGCCATTCGGCACCCTGGTGCCAAAGGCCTTGGCCCAGCCACAGAGCCAATCCAGCCCTCTGCTCTCAGGTTTTCCACCGGCTTTGCCTACTACAGCTTGGCCATGGGCGTGGAAGAGTTTGGGGTGGACATCTACATCCTCCAGATCATCTTCGGAGGGGTAGACATCCCCGCCAAGTTCATCACCATCCTCTCCGTGAGCTACCTGGGACGGCACATCACCCAAGCGTCCACCCTGCTTCTGGCAGGTGGCACCATTTTGGCTCTCATCCTGACGCCCGAGGGTGAGCGGTGGGGAGGGCTGCTGCTCTGCTGCTCTGCGGGGGGTGTCAGTCTGTCTTCTAGAGGACAGTCCGCTTGCACTGATGACTTGCAGGCACATTTTCGCATCCTTTGTGGCCGGGGCAGAGTGGGACAGGGGCTGGGGATGGTACAAGTCACTTGGACCTGGACACACCTTGGGAATGTCACTTTGGAGGGTGAGCTGAGAGGTGGAAGCAGCACAGCCGACAGCTGCAGAGAGACCCCACAAACCACTCTGCCACAGTCGGGAAAAGCTGCTTCTGTTTTAGATGAATGCTTGGCTGTTGATATGCCTCTGCCCTTCCAAAGGAACTTGAAGTGCTGTAAGACAAGGACACATAGAACAAAATAAAATATAAGTAGGAATAGAGCATCGGAGCTCAGCCACACACAGGAGTAGCAAAACATCAGAAGTAGCAATGGGCGTGTTACCTTTCAGTTTGTATCTGAGCTTCCTGGCAGTCAAAGCAAAAAGGTAAATGATGTGTGTGAAGGAAGAACAGTCAGGTGCTCCTGAACACTGTGTCCCTGACATGCTTTGCCCTGCAGACATGGCCATTCTGAGGACAGCGTTGGCTGTGTTTGGGAAGGGATGCTTGTCGAGCTCCTTCTCCTGCCTCTTCCTCTACACCAGTGAGCTCTACCCAACAGTCATCCGGTAGGTGTGGGGCCTTGGGCCGTGCAGAGCCAGGGTATCCTCCTGCCTCTGCCCAGGGAGCCCAGCCTCTTAGGTTGACCATCGCGGCTCCACCCCCTCTCCAGGCAGACAGGCATGGGCATCAGTAACATGTGGGCCCGCGTGGGGAGCATGATGGCCCCGCTCGTGAAGATCACAGGCGAAGTGCAGCCCTTCATCCCCAACATCGTGTACGGGACCACGGCTCTCCTGGGGGGCAGTGCTGCCTTCTTTCTTCCTGAGACCCTCAACCGCCCTTTGCCAGAGAACCTCGAGGACCTACAGCAGTGGTGAGCTTCTTGCCTCTCTGCCTGTTGGAGCCATGGGTTGCAGGTGGGGCTCAGGGCTGGGTCCACACTCTGTTCCAGGTGCAAGCCAGCAAAGGAGACAAAGCTGGAGCTGGAAGCAGAGAAAGAAGCCCAGAAGATACTTCTGAAATCATGCACACAGGGCATAGGCCCCAGCTGAAGGGTGGGCCCACCCTGCCTCCCACCCTGACCCTACAGGGCCCTGCTTGCCTCGAGCCCTGTGACAGGGTCTAAGTGGACCAGAACCCAACACATTGCCTTCTAAGGGTACAATGAGACTTCCCACCTCCTCCAGGGCCTCAACCACTGCCGGCCCAGCCTCCCACCTGTCCCAGGCCGCATTGTCCTGCCGGCCCAGCCTCTTCCCCAAGGCCCCTGGCACAGCTCTTGCAGGCCGCATCCCTTCCTTGCCCTCAATCCTTCTCTTAGATGAGAAATTTCAATAAACAGTGGTAAGGACTCAAGCTGCAAAGCTAAGTTTGGGGATAGGGATGACGCCGGGTGACACGCAGGCCACATCCCTACCATCCGTGTGGTATGTGCAGATGTGGGCTGACACAGATGTACACACGTATCCATGTCTGTGCACCAGTGGGGCCAACACGCAGCTGCAGCAGGACTCAGCAGGCCAGCTGGTTGGCTGGGCAAAGGCAGGGCTGCTCCTGAAGGCATCGCCCTGTGGTCCTCAGTCCTCGCCTGGGGCCCAGGAGGATACCAGGTCCTGTAAGAGTCTGACCCGTGGCCTCAAGCTGTTTGTCCAGCTGTCCTCACCTCCTTGGTCTTGGGCTCTTGTGTACCTTGGCATGGACACCACTCTCAGGCATCTGGACCCCTCCGGGTCAGGCAGAACCATCACAGGGCAGAGGCTGGGCTGGTTCCCCTCAAGCCTCGCCTGCTCTCTTCTGTGCATCAGACCAAATCACCAGACACTTTCAGTCATTCTACACCTCCAGAGCCACCCTTAGGAGCCCAGCTTTGATGTGAGACAGAGACCCAGGCAGGACCTCCAGGGTCTCAGGCCTCAGTGGACACCAAGGACCCTGGAGACTTACCACACAAGATGCACCCCAGGAGGCGAGGAAAGGGTTGGGCCTAGACCTCCCTCCATCAACAACAGGGCCCTCCCTCACAGCCTCCACACATGCTGACGCACACAGGTCTGGGAGCAGAGCCCCAGCCAGCCTTTGCTTCCTGACCAGTCCTAACACTGGAGGGGCAGGCAGATGAGCTGGGTTGCCACAGAGGGCAGAGGAGCAGCATGTCCAGCCACCAGCAGAGCACACAGTACAGTGGCGTGGGCTGTGTCAGGGTCCGGGAGGTCAGTGTGTCATCTATCCCTGCCCCACGTAGCAAGGGGCCCAAGCAGATGTCTTGGCAGGCATGATGAGCCCGTGGAGACTGGTCTAAATCTAGGGCCAGGTTTCTCACCCCCACCACCACCATGAGAGTCAGGGTGACTCTTGGCATTGACACCACCCGTGCATCCAGACCCTACAAGAAACATCCACGTCTCCAAATGCGACCACCAAGAATGTCTCCACGCATTGCTAAGGGGAGCAAAGGTACCCAGGTGGAAAAATCACTATTTTTAGGGTAAGATAAGCTTGTACATATTTTCTCTAAAATCAGTGTGATAATCTCTCTTACTTTTTTTTTTAAAGCCAGAAACAAGAGTGCATAATTGTCACGTTGTAGGGTAGAAGCTTCTCTTTGGTTCACTTGGTCTTGTTTTGTTCATTTTCCAAGACAGGTTCTGACCCTGTTGCCCATGCTGGTGTTGCACTCCTGAGCCCAAGCCATCTTCCTGCCTAGCCTCCTGAGTAGCTGGCCCTACAGGTGCACACTGCCTCACCTGGCTAGAAGGTTCTTGGCACTCTTCACCTGAATCAGCTCATTTGACCCTCCAGCTATTCCCCTGACTATCCCTATCTTGCAAATATGCCCATCTAGGAACCAAGAAGTCAAGCAACTTGACCCTGGTCACCAAGCCAGCAAGGGTGGAGGGAGGGCTTGGGTCCAGCAGGCCACATCTTACATAACACAGATGGTGCTGGGCAGACACAGGGGGTGCAACCTGCTCCCAGTTTCCACAGCCCATGGTCCAGAGAAACAGGTCCAGTTCTGTGGAGAGTGCCCCAGACCAAGAGCCAAAGCCATCGGAGAACCAAAGGGATGTCGCAGCTTCACAGCTAAAAGTGAAATTAAATTCACACTCACTATTTCAACATAGTAGACAAGAGACATGACAAAAGGAAAAATTAGAACCAGAACCCTCAAGAAGGTGAAAGCTGAGTGCCACAAGATTGGCCCAAGGTCCTCTCCCTCAAGCTAGGGCAGCCTCTGACACCAATTCCTCCCCACCACTGAAAACCACAGCCCCAAAAGACACTTGAGGTCCCCAGAATACATGGCTCCAGGCAAACCCCGATTCCAACCAGTGTCTTGGAGAAAGAGCATTCCGTGCAGCGTCTGAGCATTATTCCCTGATCCAAAGTTCAGGTTTTCTCTGGCAACCTTTCCTGAAGAGACCATTCCCTTCCTGTCCACTAGAAAGGACACAAGAGGCCACCACACGCCTCAGTGCTAATTCCTCACTTAAAGGAACAGAGAGACCCCACTGTGTCCCTTTCCACTCCCAGGTACCCAGCACAGTCCCTCTCCTCTCCTGCCTCATCCACCCTTTCCTGCCCTTTACACCCACTTGGAGAAATTCCACGAACAGAGGGAGCCCTTGCAGAGTTAATCCTGCCGATCCTAAGTCACACTTTAACTCATTCTCTCTGGACCAAGGATTAAAAGCTGCCGGCCTAAGGGTCAGGGCTCTCAAGACCCCAAAGTGAGGAGAAGCTGCAGGGGAAGGGAGGGACAGAACCAGACCACGGAGGAGGAGGGGCCCAGGCTGCAGCCCCGCAGAGCCTCTGCCTCTGCCACAGACACAGCTGCCTGCAGAGGACACAGGACAGGCGAGCCGTCCACAGCCCCAAGACAACGTACTCACCCGACCACCCAGCCCAGCCAGCCCCATGGCCTTCAACGACCTCCTGAAGCAGGTGGGGGCCGTTGGCCGCTTCCAGCAGATCCAAGTCGCCCTGGTGATCCTGCCGCTGCTCCTGATGGCCTCCCACAACACCCTGCAGAACTTCACAGCTGCCATCCCTGCCCACCACTGCCGCCTGCCCCCCAATGCCAGCCTTGGCCTGGATGGGCAGCTGGGGACCCTGCTGCCCCAGGACTCACAGGGGCAGCCTGAATCCTGCCTGCGCTTTGCCACCCCATCGCAGGGAGCAGCCCTCACCAATGACACCACAGCCAACCTCACGGAACCCACAGAGCCCTGCATGGATGGCTGGGTCTACGACGACAGCATCTTCCCATCCACCATCGTGACAGAGGTGAGGACAGTGCTCCACACAGACACATGCACACAGAGACACCACACAGCTGTGTGAACACGCATGTGCACACGCATGCACACAAGCATGGGAGCTGTGTGGTAGAGGAAGAGCAGACCTGAGACCTGGGAGTGAAGAACTGGGGCTGAGGGTGCGGCCTGAGCTCTCCTTTCCCTGCAGTGGGACCTTGTGTGCTCACACCGGGCACTCCGCCAGCTGGCCCAGTCCCTCTACATGGTCGGGGTTTTGCTGGGCGCCATGTCCTTCGGGCACCTGGCAGACAGGTCAGTGCAGGGCTTGCCCGGGACAGGGTGGGTGGGAGATTCACTCCACAGGGAGCTTGTTTGGGAGCCTGTGGCCCCAGACTCATAAGGCAGCCCGAGTCCTCAGCACCCCAGCCCGGCTCACCTACAACCCCCCAGCCCTGCTGAGGTCTCCCCCCCCCCCAGGCTGGGCCGCCGGAAGGTACTGATCCTGAACTACCTGCAGACGGCTGTGTCGGGGACCTGTGCTGCCTACGCCCCCAACTTCTCCCTCTACTGCACCTTCCGGCTGCTCTCGGGCATGTCCCTGGCTAGCATCGCCATCAACTCCATGACGATAAGTGCGCGCTGACCCCGCCCGCCTCCGCCTGTCTCCTCCGGGCCCTCATTTAGAAAACCATCTGAGACTCCCTTGTTGGGCGGGCAGGTCCCAGTGGCTAGACAGGCCTGTGCCAGTGACAAGAAGTGGCGAAAGCTGAGTCAGGGGAGGCGAGGCTGTCTGAGGCCCGCACTCCCGGCTGTCGCTGCACTTCCTGTGTGATCTGGGCGGAGCTTCTGCCTTCCAGTGTTGAAATGTTGTTTCTAACCATCATGGGAGCCGCACCACAGGACAGCTGGCACACACATGCACTCACGCATGCACGCTCACATGCTTGCACTCGTGCACATCCATCCAGCCGCAGGGATTCTGTCAGGGGAGAAATCTGAGGTGGGGAGAAACAGATCTAACCCAGAAAAGAACCCAGGACCTGGAAGCCCCTGGGCAAGAAGAGCTGCCCCGGACTCAGCTGGGCCAGGACATCCAAGGTCCCATCTTCCCAGCCCATTGCATCCCCCAGGGCCAGGCGATGCCACAGTGGAGAAGCATTACTGAGGGGACCCACAGGGCATGGCTGCTGTCAGGACAGGAAACGAGACCCTGAGGACATGAGCTCTGGTCAGGAGGGCATGGAGCGGCTACAGGCCCACAGATAGACAGCCCCAGTCCTCTCTCCCCTCCCCTCACACCTGCTCTCTCTGAGCCGGAGAGCCTGGGCTGGATCTGCCCTCCCCTGCCCAGCATGGTACCTGCCCTGTGCTGCCCTCTTGCAGATGTAGAGTGGATGCCAATTCACACTCGTGCCTGCGTGGGCACCCTGATGGGCTACACCTACAGCCTGGGCCAGTTCCTGCTGGCTGGCCTGGCCTACGCTGTGCCACACTGGCGCCACCTGCAGCTCCTGGTCTCTGCGCCCTTCTATGCCTTCTTCCTATACTCCTGGTAAGGGCCAGGAAAGCAGTGCTGTGGAACCCCAGGGGAATGCAGGGAACCAGCCGCCTCCCCAAACCCCAGTATCCCACATGCAGAGGTCACCCAAGCCAAGGCACCCACAGTCCCCAGTCCCCAGACTGCCAGAGCAGATCTGGGGACAGGGCCTTGCCCTACAGTCCCCAAGAAAGGGACACAGCAAGGCTTCCAACTCTAGCCCCAGCAAATCTCTCAGGGCCCAGCCCCAGCTTGACCCCAGCCGGCCCCACCCAGCCCCAGCCCTGAGTCTACCAACCCCCAGGTTCTTCGTGGAGTCTGCTCGCTGGCTGTCCTCCCGTGGGAGGCTGGATCTCACACTGAGCACACTTCAGAGAGTGGCTCGAATTAATGGGAAGCAGGCAGAGGGAGCCAAGCTGAGCGTGGAGGTGAGGACCCCAGACCACTGAGATCGGAGCCAGGGCTTCTCCAGGTCTCTGCAACAGGCCTGAGCCCTGTCCACCCCCAGGTGCTCCGGACCAGTCTGCAGAAGGAACTGACCCTGGGCAAAGGCCAGGCCTCCGCCATGGACCTGCTGCGCTGCCCTGCCCTCCGCCGCCTCTTCCTCTGCCTCTCCATGCTGTGGTAGGCAGGGAGAAGACACAGACACACTGACTTATGGGGGACCAGCTACCCCAAAGACAGAGCTGGCAGGCAGATGCCAAGAAAGGGAATAAAGGTCCACAGGCCTGTGAAGCAGGGCATGTACCGTTCACACAGCCCAGGCCAAGTGCCCTGCAGCCCCGACTCAGTCTCAGCCCTCACCAGCTCCTCCTCAGTCTCATCAGGGCAAGGCCTTCCAGGGCAGCAGGGCAGAGGGCAGTGCCCTGCAAGGCCTGTAAGGTAACTGACTCCGGCGCCTGCCAGAAACAGACCTAAGACAACCAGTACCATCTCGAGGACGCACTGGCCCAGGACAGCAAACCCCGGAGAAGCCCTCCCAGTCCACACTCCTACCCTTTTTCCATTGCCTCAGTCCCATGTCAGAAGGAGCAACCTTGCTCCAGCCCAGAGTTTCCTCAGCTGTGGATTCTGCCCAAAACCTAGGCTTCACTTTGTGAGCTCCTGATATCCCCTTAGAATGTCCATAGACTCCCTGCCCCTCCCTAGCACTTGGCCCTGAAGAGTGGTCTGGACATTGACCTGTCCTCCTCAACCCAGCATCAGCAGATAAGATAAAGACTGAAGCCACACCACTCACCATGGGGGTGACTACGGGAACCCACACACAGGGCCCTGGTTATTGGGAGGTGGGGCTCCAGCGTGCTCCAGTGAGCAGCTATGTGTGTGCAGTTAAAAAGAGATCTTAGCAGGGATCCAGGCTGTTCACCCTGTTTCTTACCACCTCTTCTTAAGCCTCCTAACCAGTCCTCCTGCCCCTGCTAGGTTTGCTACCAGCTTTGCCTACTATGGACTGGTCATGGACTTGCAGGGCTTCGGGGTCAGCATCTACCTGATCCAGGTGATCTTCGGGGCCGTAGACCTGCCTGCCAAGCTTGTGTGCTTCCTGGTCATCAATTCCCTGGGCCGCCGGCCAGCGCAGTCAGCCTCCCTGCTACTGGCGGGCATCTGCATCCTGATGAATGCGGTGATACCCCGGGGTGAGCACCGCAACTTGCCCACCCTGGACACAGCCCTCCTCCCCACCCCACTCCTCCTACCCTCACCTTCCTCCCCAGACCAGACAGTTGTCCGTACCTCCCTTGCCGTGCTGGGAAAAGGGTGTTTGGCCTCTGCCTTCAACTGCATCTTCCTGTATACAGGGGAGCTGTACCCTACCATCATCCGGTGAGTAGGGCAGGGGGGAGGGCTGGGGAGACGTCATCCTGTGGAAGATCACACCCCGTACCATGGTAGCTGCTCAGATCTGGCAAGCGCAGTGTGGACCCTGGCCTCAGATCTCCAAGGGCCTCCAGATAAGGCAGGGCAGAGAGCACAAGGTTGCACTGAGAAGTCCCCAAAACACAAGCTAGAAGCTGCCACCAATCAGAACTCCATCTTAAGCCAAGTACGTGTACCAGACATGAACACAAACACCTCTCCAACCGAGGAGCACCGCTGATTATAGGGGATGCAGAAGTAATGCCAGTTTAGGGCCGGCCAGATAGCTCAGCAGATTAAAGTGCCTGCTTAGGCAGACACAGGGGCGAGGATTCAATCCCCAGCATCCCATGCCAGTCCTACCCCCAGGGCATACTGAGATGACAATTGAGACTGGGCATGGTGGTGTGCACCTATAATCCCAGCACTTGGGAGGCTGAAAACAGGAGGATCACTACAAGTCTGATCTGTGTAGTAAGACCCTATAGAACCTGCACTAAATACATGAAAGAAAGAAAGAAAGAAAGAAAGAAAGAAAGAAAGAAAGAAGAAAGAAAGATAGATAGATCACTAGCTCTTTGGAGCGCAAAGAGGAGGGAGATGGTTAAAAAAACATGTGTCTATTTTAAGAGACAGATGAAAATTCATCGAGATGTCCAAGAAATGTCAGGTTTTCCTTGACCCAGATGCTGCATCCTTAGAGAGCCAGGAGAGAGGGTTGGCATGAGGCACTTGCACTGTACAAGGCACTGCCTGAACTTTCCCCAGAACTGCCACCCATCTTCAAGAGAACTGGCAGGGCAGGCACCACTAGTATTCCCATTTCATGAATGCAAACAGGGAGGCACAGAGAGGCCAGATGGCTTCGCCAAGGCCACACAGCCAGCGAAGCTGAGGTGCCAACCTTTGAGCCCTCACAGGTCACATCTGAGGCCACACCTCATCTTCCTCTCCCTGCAAATGCTTTTCACATATTCCTAGTGGGCAGAATCCTCATCCTTCCAGAGGGGACTCCATCCAATGGTTCTGTGTGGGGCTGGGGCCATGAAACTCAGTCTTATGGGTGATCTATGGCCATCGACCTAACCCTTTCAACAAGCCTCCCTTTTGACAGCTCAGACAACTGATCCCAGAAAGGGAGAGGGACTTGGCCAAGGTCACACAGCAAGTCAAAGGCAGGGCAAAATCCAATCCTGAGACTCCTGATTTCCTCTTTAAAGTCATGTCACCTGCCCTGTATGGGGAAGGGTGGCAGCGCAGGTTAGGGTTGGAGCAGTGTCCTGGCTGTGGCAAATGCCTGACCCCCAACCTGCAGGCAGACAGGCTTGGGCATGGGCAGCACCTTGGCCCGGGTTGGGAGCATCGTGAGCCCCCTGGTGAGCATGACTGCCGAGCTCTACCCCACGGCACCTCTCTTCATCTTCGGCGCTGTACCTGTGGCCGCCAGCGCTGCCACAGCCCTGTTGCCTGAGACACGGGGCCGGCCACTGCCCGACACTGTGCAGGACCTGGAGAGCAGGTAAGTCCCAGGACAGGCCTGCCTCCTGCCCTGCAGAGCCCAGCCAGCCCTCTGTCTGGCCACATACACAAGGTTCTGCTCTCCCCAACTCAGGCGGGCAGGGAGCCTGAGGCAGCCACAGCAGGAGCAGCAGAAGCAGATGGTACCACTCCAGGGCACCGCACAGGAGAAAAACAGTCTTTGAAGACCCTGGGCCCAGGCCTCGTACTGGAAGGGCAATGCACACAGGGTTTTTGGCCCGGGAATGCTGCCCAAGACTGCACCATCACAGGCTGGTGTGCGTGTCTTGAGTGGAATCAGCCCTCCAAGGCCACCAACTTCAGCTGTGAGTCACAGAGTGTGGCCCCCTCTTCTACCCCTCCCTGCTTTACCCTCCTATCCCCAACAGTTCACCCAACACTCTGCAAAACTCTCTCTTGGCTGGAGTGGTGTGTATGCCTGCAGCCCCAGTGCTCCGGGAGGCTGAGGCAGGAGGACTGCAGGTTCCAAGCCCAACCTCTGCAACTTAGAAAGAACTTGTCTCAAAATAAAAAATAAAAGGGAACTCAGGATGCAAATGTCCTGCATTTGGTCCCTGGTACTGTAACATAAAGTCTCTCTTCGACTTCTTCTTCCCTCCCCCTCTAATTTTCTCAAATATTTCTGAGAGTTTTAGCTAAAAACCTTATATAACACCTTCCCAGAAACAGACAAGACAGGGTCTGGGGAGATGGCTCAGTGAAATAAGTGCTTCCCTGGCAAGCGCAAGGGCCTGAGTTCCGCCAAAAAAAAAAAAGAAAGAAAGAAAGAAAGAAAGAAAGAAAGAAAGAAAGAAAGAAAGAAAGAGACAAGACAGCAACTGAACACAACCAATCAGATGTTGGTTTCATTCCCTCAGCCTTCTTAGGGAAGCAGTTAGGCTGTGGCACAGGTAAGGAAGCCAAGGCACAGAACAGACTCCTAACTGCCTAGTTTTGCACAACCCATGCACTATGGGCACAGGGTTAAACCCAGACAATAGCACTGGGAATGGGGGTGCCCATCTTCTTTGTGCACCCCAGGGCCCCACTTCTCCTCCTTCCTGCTGAGGCAAGAAGCGGTGGGGGAGGAGATTGAGGAGGAGCTGTGAAGGAAGAGGAAGGCAGGTCAGGGCTCTGCTTGGGAAAACCAAGTCCACCGTAAAGTCCACCGGGCACAGCCATGCCCATTTCTTCCCACTTCTCAGCCCCAAGGACTCAGGACACTGGCTCGATGCCCTCCTCTCACCTTAGCCCCCAAGCTGAGCTCTGGCATAGTCATTCTCCACCTCAGCAGCCTCAGATGGACCACAAGTCCCACCCTAGCCCGTGGGTGAGGGCCCCTTGGCCTCCCAGCATTCTGACTAGGACAGAGCTCTCTGAAGTCCTCAGCAGCTTGGCCCACACCAAAAAAGAGCTATATGGAAGCTACCTTCTCTGACCCTTGCTCTGTCCCCTACCCCACACACACCATCCCAGGGCTTCTCGAAGGCCCTCCCTTAGGTGAGTTCAGGTGACCCCAGGCCACTTAGAGGGGACCCTCACTGTAGAGTTGAGTAGTGCACAGTGGTCCCGGAGCTATCCACAGCCCAAGTCCTAGAATCTGTCAGCACAACAGCCACTGTGGCCAAAGGCAGTTGGCAGCTGGAATTGGACTGAGGGTTCTGAAACAAGGGAACCACCTGAGTTATACTGTTGGCCCAACAGGAGCACAGCAATACTGGGACAGTCCCAAAGAGCTGAGGAAGCAGGAGGCCGCAGTGACACAAGAGGGGACAAAAATGAGTAAACAAAAAGTTAAGACAGAGACCAAGACCCCACACTAATCGTTATCAAATGAGAATAATCTCCCATCATTTTCAAACAAACAATTCCATTCCATGTTGACAAATAAATGGTAATCTGAGACCAGAAGACAAGGACAGCAAACAGCCTCCAGACCTGGAGAAGGCAAGGAGACAGGACAGATCCTCCTGCAGCCTCTCATGGGAACAGCCCAGTGACTGCTGGCCTCAGGCATCAGCCCTTGTCTTAGTCACTTTTCTCATTGCTGAGACAAAAAACCCACCATCAAAAGTTAGAAGGGGAAAGGTTTGTGTAGCTCACAGTTTGTAGAGATTTCAATGCCTAACCAACTGATTCCAAGACAAAGTGGCTTGGCAGAGGTGCATACAGAAGACAAGCAGTGCAGGCCCCACAAAGCAGCAAGAGCAACCAGGAAAAGAGGTAAGCTTCATTCTGCCCCATAGGGGGTAACTAGTCTACCAGAGTTAGGGCTATACCAATCCAGCCAGCAGACCCAACCAGCAATCACCCACCCTTAATCCTGGCACTGTATCGAGCATCACCCACACACTCTAGATCCAGCCACCTCCAAAGAACCCCATCTAAAACTGCATCAGGCTTTAAAGGACATCTGGACATGAACCCTAACATTCTATCCCTGACCCCCAGAAGACTCGTGTACATTCCTTCATCCATCTCCAAGAGTTGCCAAAGTCCTAACAGTTTCCAGTGCTGCTGAAAAGTCCAAGTCCAAAGTCTGCTCTGAGATGTAAGGCTATGGGGAGTGGCTAAGCAGCAGCTGAGCCCACGATCAACCACACATTTGGGGCTAGAAGGAGACCAGCCCTGGGAGCACCAACAACCAGAAGCAGGCCACATGAACAAGGCGACCTCCAGCTCAGGGGCATGTGGACAGGTGTCTGGCCTTGGTGTTCCTGCCTGTAACTACAGCATGTATAGCTCTGAGAATGTTTCACTTTCAGGGTTCTCAGCGAAACACCAGACCTTGCACTTCCGGCCTTGCCCGTGCTTCCCCTCTTGTCACTATGTGTAAGTAAAAACACAGGCCATCCTGGACCATCAGAGAGGTCAGTTCCACTCAGTCCTGCCTTTTTTCTATGTGTCTTGTTTGTTCTTAATTCCCCCATTGCCCCCTCTCAGGACCCCCCGGCTGCTCAGGTCAGGAAGGGTGGTGCCCAGCATAGTGCCCGAGCACGGGGAACTCAGGGAGCAGGACCAGGATCCACTCCAGGAGCTCGAGCAGCAGGACTAAGTACAGAGAGCACTGAGCACTCGCGACGTGTAGAGCAGTGAGGAACTCAAGGCCTAAAGCTCACTCTTTATATGTTGAAATATTTAAAGCTTTGCTTAAGGCTAAAGGGCCCTATCACACTGCACAGCTTTCTACCAAGCCCAGTTTTCTTGGGTTTGGCTGTTTGTGCTCTAATCACAACAATAAACCAACCTGCTCCCGTTCTCGGCCTTCTGGAAGGCCAGTGAAGCGTCACCATCCACGCACCAGTTCTGGTGGGGAAGACGCTGTGTTGTGTCCATCTCCACAGGCCTGGCCACTCCTTGTTCTTCACATCCTGTGGGTGAATTGGGTGAATTGGGTTTAGCTCAAAGGCTGGGCCTTGTAAGTGTGTAAATTCTGTAAGATGCCATTCTGCTGAATTCCCACTCATCCTCAGTAAGTGTGAGAACATGTTGGAAGGCAAAGTAGTCATAGGTAGAGCAAAAGAAAAATGCTGTAGACCCACCCCCTGCTCTGTGTGCTGTCTTCAAGGAAATCATCTTAGATGAGCTCCAAGATGTACCTGTCCCGGGGAGGCTTGGTCAGTGTCCTAGAGTGGAGGCTGTGTCCATAGCCAATGCCTGGACAGAGAAGAACTGCTGTCCCTGGGTCTGCACCCCAAGAAACCCTGGCAGGAAGCCTCATGTGAGCCACACCCACAGCAGAAGCCAGACCTCCTGTGGGGCAGCAGGGGCCAGGGTTCAGAAGCCAGCAGCAGAAAACACTAAGCCAACTGGAGTCCAGCTGGAAGGGTGGCCTCCCTCAGTCAGCAGAGAGGGAAGCCAGACTGAGGGCTGAGGTGACAAAGGAGGACAGAGCAATGGAAGGACAGAGCTGCCCCAGGCCTTGGTGATGTCATTTGGCTACAGACTTAGCTACATGAGCTGCCTCCCTGTCCACTTGCAATCCGAAAGAAGCACTATCATTTCAAAAGTACCAAGGGTAGAGGAGGGGCTGGGGCTACAACTTGAAGCACAGTGCTTGCACTGTATCACGAGGCCCTGGCTTGATGCCGTCAGTGAAAAACCAAGAATGGAAAATGACAAGTTCCTACCGCCAGATTCCAAGGTATCTTCCTGCTGCAGACAGCCAGCAACTGCAGGGAGAGTGGGAAACGGTACTCACACCTGTGCGGTGCACCACCGGGCCATACTGCTGTGAGAAAGACACAAGTGAGGCCAGGGAATGGCTCTGGGACTGACTATACCACCAAGACCTGGGAGCCTCACACAGTCAAGGTGAAGGAGGAGGATTCATGGCAGCCAGGGAAGCTTGAATGTGCAGATAAGGAGAGCGCTAGATAGAACTTCCAGGGAAGAAAGAGCTGCGCCAGCTTGCAACCTCACAGGCTTGCAGAATATTGCTCAAAACTTCTACAACTCGGGCCGGGGAGATGGCTCAGTAGAATAAGCACTTGCCTGGCAAGAGCAAGGGCCTGGGTTCAATACCCAGTTCTGAAAAAAAAAAAAAAAAACTTCTACAACTCAATAAGAAGCTGAACTTTATAGTAGGCCCCAAAGCATGACACACACACACACACACCCCACTGCAGAAGACACAAGGACAGCTCAGCACTGGCAGGAAATGCAGGTCAGTGAGACCCCACCCACCCCCCCTCTCGTGGCTGAGGACTTGTGCTGCAGTGGCCCTACCACCTTAGGGCTGCACAAAGCCCACCAGCTGGGCCTTCTGGCTTGGACTTAAGCCTCTGACTCCACACGACCAAGGCTCAGCCTGAGACATCCACACCCTGGACTCTGGGGCCGATGAATGAGCCACATGTGGGGCACCAAAGAAAACCCCCAGGGTGATGCAGAGGGTGGTGCTCTCTCCAGATGCTGCTCATGGGCCGGGAGATGGCTCAGTGGAATAAGCGCTTCCCTGGCAAGTGCAAGGCCTGAGTTCAATCCCCGGTTCCACAAAAAAAGAAAAAAACAAGAATAGATACTGCTCATGCCTGGCCTCCCAGGGTCTCCCACAAGGCCCTGGCCACCCAGCGGGCTGTCAGCTGGCCATAGAAAAGGTTGGTAGGAATCTGGAGTCAATGACATGTTCACACCTTGCTTGGAGGAACATAAACCATGTAAACACTTCAGAAACCTATTTGACTGTCTCTGATAAAGTTCAGTCAACCTTCTACCCCCATGGGTTCTGCATCTTGTGTCCAACCCACCATGGATCTGAAGCACTCTTAAAAATTGCCTCTGCAGTGAACACATCCAGGCTCTTTTCCTTGTCACTCTCCCCTAAACCGCATGGCACTTAATGTCCTATTAGAGTTGGCAGGGACCTAGAGATGACACAGCCTGTCTGGGAGGACTTCCTGCCCTAAATGTGAACCCTGCAGCCTTTCACCAGCAGAACTGATCACCCTCAGCCTGGTGTCTGCAGGGAGCCCTGGCCCCAGCTCTGACCTTCTGTGACTCAGTGCCGCCACCTCGAGGCACAAGGCATTCACCCAAGAGAAAGGCGC